TTTGATGGGTATTCATTCAGCAAAATCACTAGCAGAGGGTTTGACTTCCAAACCCAGGAAAAATAGGAGAGACTGAATTTTCTAAAATTCTAACTTTGTATATAAAAGTTGTATATAAAATAAAGTGTACCCTAATACTTTGGATTTGTACCCAGCTTCTCTTTTGTTCCCAGTTGCAGAGGTGAATTATGACATTCTGTCTCCCATTCAAGCCTCAATCAACTGCAGTCTAACTTCCACCCCACTACTCCTCTGAAATTGTCCAAGATTTACAGTCTAAGATCTTTGTCTCTTATTTACCAATCAAATCCTTAGCTAACCTTCCTGAAGTACCTGATGCTTAAGGCATTCTCTCCTGCTGGAAACAATTTCCTCCCTCGCCATTCCTGGCCTCATGCTCTTGTGATTTTACCCCTAGATCTGTGCTTATCCTTCTACATTCACTTGGCTCAATCCTCTTCCTATACCAATCTTTTCAATGTCTCCCCATTCAACACTTGGCCACAGGGTAATTTACCTACTTCTAGTCACAATTCTCAAGCTTTAACCACTTTTAAAATCTTTATTTCCCAAGCTTAGGGTACAAATATCCAACTGCTTACTAAACCTAAAAGTTCCACAGAAATGTGAAATTCAGCATATCTGAAACTCCGCTACCTTTCCTCATGAGTCTCGAAACATTTCTCCTTGAAAGTCTATTTCTGTAACAGGGAAAAGCTAAATGGGACTCCAGGTTCCATCTGTTTCTTTGACTTTAACCTTTGCTTTTTGTTGCTTTTGTTATTATAATCATACATAATGGCCTGCCTCAGGGAACCCTGCCCCTCCGCCTGAATGTTAAACTAAAGTGCCTCTGTTCAGTTCAAAGGGAGACAACCTCACCCCACCCACCTGTGGATGTCTCAAGAAAGAAGAAATTAACACATCCCCTCACGGAGGCTGGCCATTCCACAGGGTATTTGCAAAACTTATGGCCTTTTGACTTTACTTACTCATCTCCTCCCCCTCTCTGTGATATAAAAGAAGCTGGCATCCAAACCCCGATAAGATGGTTTATCAGAGACACTAGCCTGGCATCTTCTCCGTCTGCCAGCTTTCTGAATGAAGTCATATTCCTTGCCTCAACACCTCGTCCCCGATTCACTGCAGCGAGCAGAGAAAGCTTGGACTCCGTAACATCTCAATCAAAAGCATCAACAACCACCCAGTCACCTGAAAGTAATCCTAGACCCCTCGTTTTCCCTCAACCTCATGTCACATCAAACACCAGATCTTGATTCTTACTTCCCTAAGGCCTCTCAAATTCATCTTTTCTACTATCCCCACTGCCACGGCCTTTCTTCACGCCATCATTTCTCATCTTGGCCACAATAGCCTTCTTACTTCGTATTTATTGCCTCCAATAGCAATATCTTTTTCACTACTGTCAGAGTGACCTTTCCCAATTATAAATATAGTGTCATTCACAGCTTAAAATTCTCCCAATCTGAGGATAAAGGACTAAGCATGGTAATGACCTACCTATTCCAAATAATTACCCACCATGCCCACCGATGCTTCGGCAATATCTAATTTCCTACAGATCTTGAACATATCATGTTACATCAGAGTTCTATGACCTGACTCAACTCTTGTCTCTGACTAAAATGCCCTCCTCTGCCTTACCACACTCCAAAATCCTGACCTTTCTATCAGTTAGTTATTCATTTATTGGTTCATTTATTCATTCATTTCTTTTAGGCTTAAGAAACAAAGGATTCTGCCCAAAAAGAATAGAGACTAGATAGAAGACAAACAAGTATTAATTAACATTAATAAAAACAATAATAGCTAACATATACTGAATATGTACCAGGTGACAAGCACTGTCCTAAAGGGCCTTACATAAATTCATATTTATTCATCATGACAACTGTGATACTGTGATATAATAAGAAATATATATTTTGGTATTCATCCTGGCTCCTGAAACAGTGCCATAGCAATAAAGGTGAAAGAAACATCTTTTGTTGTAATATTTGGTTTTTATCCCAATTTCTGAAATAGTTCCAGAGCAATAAAGGTAAAAGGGGCATCTTTTGTTATTCCTAATGAGTTTCTTTCAACCACACTTGAATTTTGTTAAAGAGGTGACTTTTGGAAAGCCCCTGAGGGGGGGGGGGGGGGGGGGGGGGGGGGGGGGGGGGGGGGGGAGATGGATGCTAAAGGAATCAATCACATGATAGAGGGCTGGAATTTTCAGCCCCACTCCCCCAACCTCCAGGGAAGGGAAAGGAGCTGGTACTTGAGTTAATCACTAATAGCCAGTGATTTACTCAATTGTGCCTACAGAATGAAGCATCCATAAAAAACCCTAATTTAGGTGTTCAGAGAACTTCTGGGTTGGTGAACACATGGAGGTACTGAGAGGAGGGTGGCGAGCCTGTAAACGGCATGGAAACTCCATACACCTTCCTCCATACCTTGCCCTGTGCATCTCTTCTAGCTGGCTGTTCTAGAGCTGTATCCTTTTATAATAAACTGGTAATCTACTAAGTAAACTGTTTTGCTGAGTTCTGTGAGTCATTCTAGCAAATTATCAAACCTGAGGAGGAGGTTGTGGGAACCTCCAAGTTATGGCTGGCTGGTCAGAAACACAGGTGACAACCTGGACTTGCAATTGGTGTCTGAAGTAAGGGGGAGGGGCACAGTCTTGTGGAACTGAGCCCTTAACCTGTGGGGTCTGTGCCTACTCCAGGTAGTTAGTGTCATAATTGTATTGTAGGCCATACAGTTGGTGTCCAGTTGGAGAATTAATTGCAGGAAAAACAACACTCACCCATCTGGTGTCAGAAATGAAGTGGTATGAATAGTAGTAAGGGAAAGAGTTTTCTTTTAACAACTCTGAGAAGTTAGAGGGAAAGTTATAACCTTAAAAATTAAAAGATATTAGGAAAAAAAGTTTAAAAAAAAATCAGTGATATAATCTTCATATGAAGAAACTAGAAAAACAAGTTAAATCCAAAGCAGAAAAAAAAAAGGAAATAAGAAAGAAAGCAAAAGGAATCAACAGAAGATAAAACAGAAAAACAATAGGGAAATCAATGAACCCAAAATCTGTTTCTTTGGGGGGGAATAAAATCAGTAAAATTAATAGACCTCTACCTAGGCTGATAAAACAAAAAATAAGAAAGAATATATAAATTACCAATATCAGAAATAAAAGCAGATCCTACAGATCCTAAAAACATTAAAAATAAAAAGGTAATATTTTAAGCAATAAATTAAATATCCTTGATTAAACTGAAGATTCCTTGAAAGACACAAATCACCAAAAATGACTCAAGAAGAAATAAAAATAATAATAAACAGACTAGCACAATATCTACTAAAGAAATTAAATTATACCACTAAACTTAGAAACCATGTTCTTATCTGATATTCATTTAAATCAGTCTCACATTTATTGGAGCTGAATATTACAAGTGAATCCAATTTAATCTTTTTATTTTACATGAAATGGCCTCAAATAGTATTTTTAATGTTTTAGTACTAAGAAATTCTTAACTCATGGTACTTACCACTCAGTCACTCAACGTCAGTAGTTTTAAAAATACGAAAATAACATTTAATAATAAAAATCCATTCTAATATATATATTCTTGAAATTTATATAAATATATGAATTCCAGTATTCTTGTTTATCTTGCCATATATATATATATATATATAGAGAGAGAGAGAGAGAGAGAGCTAATTTGGGGGGGCAGGGCGGGAGGGGGGAAGCTAGCTTTTTATCAAGTCTCAAGGAAGAAAAATTCACAGCATAATAATTTATTAATTGTCACTAGAATGATGACAACCACTTTGTATACAGCTCCTTTATTCACTCTTATGCAACTCTGAATAATCCTTTGGCTCAAAATGACAAATGAATTCTTTGATAGTCATTAACAAGCTACCAAAACAAAAGAAAAGAAAGAAAGAAGTAAGGGAGAAAAATATCTCAGAATAAAACATGAAAATATGCTCAGGACACTAAAATTTTAAATATTGTTCATATTATATTCATGAGAATATGCTACAAAAACTAAAAGAAAAAAACAGTCTACACAGTAATAAAAGCTGTGTCAAACCACAGCTCTAATAATTTTATGAAAGATGAAAACCACAACAATTTCAAAGCATCTAATATATGAAGCCTAACTGAGCAATGACAAGTTTTTTTCAATATGAAAATGGTTAAGTGGCTTCTATATTTGTTCACTGAACTGATGCTTGCTTTTACCACATTACATTTTGCATATTATAGCATATGAAGCAACAAGCATTTTTTAAACTTGGGAGAGAGGGAGCACTAAACAGGATGAAAAGGATTTCTCCATCACTCAAATAGAATTATTTTACTCTGATTTCATAAAATGGACACTACTAGAATTCAAATTATTTTTCACTGTTACCTTCTTCCTTCATTACATAACAAAAAGTGTATTTTACCTACTAATACTGCCTAATTTAAGAACTTCACAGAAACCCTAATTTTGTTCATTTAATATTAAAATAATTTTATAACCTTAGTAATAAGTCAAACAACACCTTCACATATTATATGGGTAGAAATAACTATAACAATTAGTCATGTATTACTTCATAATTTTTTTACTATTACTTTATAAAGATATGATGTTTCTGTGCCCTTTCTTTTTGGTTTTATATAATTGTATATAAAAGGAAGAAAAGCTGTTTTAGATATAGATTCGTTATTTCTATTAAGTATGTTGATACTTTACAGGTACACATTACAGGTTTCTAAAACAAATTTCTACATAATTATTACTAGTTGTTTCTTTTCAACTGACATTACCTACACATGGATTTTTCAAATACTCTGTTGGTTGACTCTATCATTTGATTATCTGAGGAATTCTATTGCTTTTTATTGCTATTTAAGAAATTATGTTGGCATTAAAGAAAAAATGGTGGAAAAAATGTATTATGTGAAAAGAACAGAAAGGCCCTACCTGTTTCAACCTCATGAAGAAAGTCTCCGTGAAAGTCTTTCTGCTGAAATACCAAAATCGCTCATTTGCAGGGTACACGCGTACTACTGTCTCCAGGAGAAAGCGGACAGGCTCCACCACCTCTGTGACTACCATATCCACTGCCACGGTCATGTACACTCGTTTATCTGCAGTAGAAATTTTCTGTGTTTTATGCCAGCTTTATTATTACTTATTTAAGAAAACAAAGTTAAAGGATTAAGGTTCTTTTTTTTTTTTTTTTTTGCGGTACATGGGCCTCTCACTGTTGTGGCCTCTCCCGTTGTGGAGCACAGGCTCCGGACGCACAGGCTCCACGGCCATGGCTCACGGGCCCAGCCGCTCCGTGGGATCTTCCCAGACTGGGACACGAACCCGTGTCCCCTGCATCGGCAGGTGGACTCTCAACCACTGCGCCACCAGGGAAGCCTGGGTTAAGGTTCTTTATACTCCTGTTACCTGCTATGTTTAATTTTAAATGTTTTATTGTCACTTAAATAGTAACCAAGTTTCCCAAGTATGTTTCTCAACACTCCTGATCCCACCTTAATCAAATGTCCAAATCTCCTCTGACAACTTTAATTTTTCCTTCTCAAAATCAGGCCCTTAATATAAAAAAATAAATAAAATAGAAATTTCAGAATGTCTTTTACACTAAAACTATCTTTCAGGTTTTTAAAAAAACCTGGAAAATCACAAAGATCTGCCCTTTCATTTCATAAAAAGAGATACTAGAAATTATTAGGTCTGTTTGATGAGTTGCACAGGAAAGACTGTCATATCAGAAGAGATGCTCAACCTTCATTATGTTAAATTTGTTTGGGAAAATGTTATTAATATTTCAATGTTGTATGCTTTTAGGGAAGTCCCCAGAGATTTGTCAGTACCCTCATTGTCCATAATACATATTAACCATCAGGAAAATCATTGACCAAAGCTCTAATGTGTAATTTTCATATATATACTCTATATATAACATATAAAATACGCTATATATACTCTCTCTATATATAACATATAGAGTACACATACACATATATACTCTCTCTACATAGAGTATATATACACACTACATATTTATACTATGCATATATATTTTATATACATAAAATATATATCAGAGTCCTGGCAAGTGCTTTTAGAGAACAATATACTGTTATCAGTCAAAATTTCAGTTACTATTTAAAATGCTTTCTTCACCATAGCCTTCCTCTAATTTGAATCTAGACTTTCTAGACCAGTGTCTATTCGTTTTCTTCAGTTTCGCTATGATAGGTTGAAATATGGATTTCATTTTATTCTATTTACCCTGCTTGAAATTCATTGGGATTTTTGAAACTGTGGTTTGTTTATTCCATATCATTTTGTCACTTCATTACTATTTTTTCTTTTTGCGATACGCGGGCCTCTCACTGCTGTGGTCTCTCCTGTTGCGGAGCACAGTCTCCGGACGCGCAGGCTCAGCGGCTATGGCTCACACGCCCAGCCGCTCTGCGGCATGTGGGATCCTCCTGGACCGGGGTACGAACCCGTGTCCCCTGCATCGGCAGGCGGACTCTCAACCACTGCGCCACCAGGGAAGCCCCTCTTCATTATTTTAAAAATATTTTTTAAATTTATATTGTCTACCATTTTCAGTTCTCAGTTAAAGGAAAGTTCAAATAACCAAGCCCACCATTAGAAGAAACCTTCAATAGTGTCTTTTTAACCATTATACAACATTTATACTCATCAACTACACTTCTATTAATATCATTAAACTCAACAAAAAATGTATTACATTCGTACTAAATACAAGCATTCTATCTGCCAATTCAAGCAGAATTAGGATTCTCTAGACATTGTACTTGACCTAAGGACCTTATAAAGTCTAAGGGGAATAAAGTAGAGGGGTTAGGGAAAATAAAAAAACGCAGAATACAATATACAACTTGACGTAGTGAAAAGATCCAAGACATTTCATCTCTCAGGGCTTCAACTTTTGTAGTTTTGATTCATGACTCCTCTGAGTAATTTATAATTTCAAGAACACCATTTAAAAATTTAAGAAATTAGGTCAACATTTTTGTGTGGCATATGAAATGATTTTAAATTTAAAACACATTATCTTTTGCATTAGAATATTATTGTAATATAGTACTATGTAGTTTCTTTTAATTGAACAAATAAATTTTAAAATATGTAATTTTTAAAATACATTAATTCTTTTTTATTTTTTTACTATTATTATTTTTTGGGGGCCACACTGCACAACATGTGGGATCTTAGTTCCCCAACCAGGGATCGAACCTGCAACCCCTGCATTGGAAGGAGGAGCCTTAACCACTGGACCGCCAGGGAAGTCCCTGAAATATATTATTTTTAATTGAGGACCAAATAGGTATTAAAATACAAAATGAAACTGAACTATGTATTACATTAAGAACAGGTAAAAAGTGCTTTTATAAGTTATTATTTGAAATTTCTATATTTTACTTCAAAATTATCAACTGGCTTATTTTTTCCATTTTCACGTTGATTTTCTGAATGATTATAAGGAAGAAGTTTACAGACTGGTATTCACAAGTCTGTATCCAGAAATAAAAAACTGTGGTGTAAAAATTATTTATTCCTAATATATGAAAAGCTAAATTTTACATAATCATCATTATTTTTCTCTCCTTTAGCCCTCAGTTTGACATAGCTTGATGTGTGATCAAATGCATGCAATTTATGGAACTGGTAAATACTTTTATTAAGGAAATTCAAAAATAATTATCATTTAATGCTCTTCATTAATATATTATATTTCCATATCAGTATTCACTAATGCTCCCGTCTTTAACCAAAAGTCTATTGTGGGTACAAAGTAAATAATATAAAACTAAAGATCAAACAAGCTGATTCATTATTTTCTCAATATAAATTATGCGTTGAATCATAGTAAAGCATTTAGTAGAAGATTATAACTCATGAGATAAAACTAAATTTTAGTTTAATGGCAGATGGTGGAGGGGGGAAAAAAAACCACATGGGCAATTAACAGATATCTGGATAAAGTAGGAATAAAAATAAATACAATGGGAATAATGACAAATGAGCCTACTTACCATCTATAAATTCCGTTCAACACTAACATATTAAACAAAATGAAAAGGTAAACAACTTGGAAAAAAGTATTTGCCACAAATGAAATCCTAAATATACATTACTAAGTTCCCGAAGGTCAAAAGACTGGAATGAATAATAGTAAATGAAAAGATATAAGTAATCTGGAATATAGAGAAAAAAAGTTAAAATATAGTTATCAGAGATGCAAAAATTCCAGAATTTGCTTCATCATTTCTTTCATATTCTTCCATCATTTCCCCCTTAAATAAAACAACTCTATAATGACATATGAAACACAAAGCCCCAATACTTTCTTAATATAATGTAATAAAATTAATCCACATATCATCGGGGGGCTTTCTTTAGAATAGTGGAGGTTTTCCCCATAGATGTATAAAGCATGAAAACAAGAATAATTCCATTTAAAATGAGCACCAGAATTTTTTTAAACATGGCAAAACAATATTGTCCATAATGTAAATTTTAAAGTAAATAATAAGGATTTTTTTTAAGAAAATTCACCTTTGGGGGTTTCTTCATTAAGTGCCAGAAATATTGGTGCATTGGGGTTCCACATGCCGGTGATAACATAAGCTCTCCCATCATAGCTCTTTCCCATGGATTCCTATAAAAGTTCAAACAGGAATCACTGAGAATATATACATCAAAAAATCATCATTTTAAATTATATCTTACTTTAAGCAATCCAATTTATTAAAATTTGAATTCACAGTCAAACAGGGGACTTATTTTCTTTGTAAATTTTTTTCATCCCACAGAAGCATTTCTTTAAATATTAAATTCTCCTACAGCTTTCTCCAGAGTTTCTATTTAGAGGCACATACTCTTGGATAAAAGGAGGTATACCCTTACATGCTGACTCACAAAAACATAATACTGGTATGAAGTTATATTTAACTTTATCTTAGGCTGGTTGTCAAAATCTCACATACCTACACATACAGGATATAGGAAGTTTCTATTAAAACTGTATTACGGATCTCACTGAAGATAGATAAACTGAATTAATAGCTAATCACAGGAAAACAGGTTAGGATTTTTCTTCTAATGTTCTAATTTTTAATATATTCTTAAAATATTAATGTACTTTATCACAATGAATACCTTTAAAGTTAATACTTTTTATTGCCTATATGCCAGATATAGGTACACTTTCTAACAATCAGTATTAGGAGACTAATACTGGTTTGTAATCAGCACTCAAGGTAATTAACTTTCTCCCTCTACCCTCATACTTATTCTCCTTCTGTTCTCTCCTTCTCCTCTTCCTCTTCATTTCCTTCACTCTTTAAGACTTTTACCAAGCCAGCTCTTGACTCTCGCTAAAGCAGCAACTCCACAACTATATGTGGCCTTGAAAGCAAGGCAACACGTAGTGTGCGTGTGTTGTGTGTGTGTGTGTGTGTGTGTGTGTGTGTGTGTGTGTAGTGTGGGGGAGCTTAGAGGTTGTCCCGTGGGAGAACAGCACACGCATACAAATATGTGCACGTGCAAAAGAGTATTATCCACAGTACTTTCAATTTTCTGTACCGATTTCCTTATATTATAAATGGAGAGTACAAAAAGGGTCAGACTAAAAGAGAAAAAACTTTTTTTCAATATTTCCCCCACACAGATGCTTCTCTGAATCCCTATGAAATTATTGTAGTCATTTGGCAATTACTATGTACATTTTTCTAGTGTACTCATGATATTTCACTAATCAGATTGTATAGCTTAAGTGCAGGGACCCTGAATTCCAGAGGTGAAATACACTTAGGGCCATGTAAAGGAAACCCACTCAGTACCTCCAACACACTTATATATTCATATCTTTCTCTCTCTCCCTCACTCCATTCCATGTGCCTATCCTCTCTCTCTGCTGTCTAATTAGACGTTCAGAACAAGAATGAGCACCTGACCCAAAAAAGTCCAGTCCATTTCTGGACAAGAGCTCGTGCTATGCTTGAGTCCAAAAAAATGAGCTAGACTAGTCAAATTCTTTCTTTCAATTAACAAATACCAAGGAAAGTGGGCAGTTAGCAGTGGGGCTGAAAGGTTTTGATAAGAAGTCAGGTGATGTCAGGCCACATACAAAATGAAGTTATAACAGAATTTAATGTACGGAAAAATATATAAAGAACAGCAGAGTACTACGAAACTGCTAAGTGGTAAGAGAGAAATGGAGAAAACAAACACCAAAAAAATCCTTAAAAATAATTAATCCTGTAGTCAAAAAACAAAGGCAGATACAAAGGAGGCAAGTGGAAGGGGAGGAAAGAGAAGGGTAGAGAAGAGGCAGAGAGGGAGAGAAAAGGGCAAGGAGGGAGAAGGGGAGGAAAGGGAGAAAGAGGGAAGAGAAGGAAAGAAGGGAGGCAGGGAGAGGGAGAGAGGAGAAGGTGCAGAAAGCCGGAAGGGGGGCCGCAGCACCAGAGGTTGAGAGAACAGGGGCAGGGGCAGCAATAAAGAGTCTCACAGAAAGAGTAAGCCCATGGCAGGAGAGGCAGACAGGAAGAGACCAGATAGAGACCAGTTTGCAGGTTTAGGTACAATTTCATGAAGATCGATAACCTCTTTTGCCTTTAAGGTGCTCTAAGTGAATCTTTGTTTCTTGTAACCAAAACAGCCTAACCAAATTAAGCATATTTTTATTTCTTTTTAGTCCTCACAACATACAACCACAATAATACTGTCTTACACATCAAAAGCCCTCAATAGAAGTTTCTCTTTATCAAGTCATTTTTGATTTTGAACTAGACATTTCTATTACATAGCCTGGCTTGCTCCCATCCCCTTATGAAGATACTGTCACAATCTTTGCTCTAGACTTCTTTCCTGACTCCTCTGCATGCCCTGGATCCCCCAGGAAGGCTGACAAGATCAGGGACATCAGGTAAAGGACATCTGGACAACAAAAGCCTCTGCCCAAACTAGGCCAGGCTGGAACCACCAGATGCCCTCTTCTTAAGAAAATAAACTGGGAAATATAATGAGAATATGGCATTTTGCAATGGAAACATAAGCTGAAGAATCATGCTAATTCATACTAAGCCATGAATGAACTACTGTCAAGCTATGAGTAAGCTGAAGCTATGAGGTCAAGTAGGCAGACAGCAGGGTAAAGCACACAGATGGCATCAGAAGGAGGAGATAACACAAAAAACTAAAAATAAAAAAATGTAAGTTCATGCTAATCCATCCATTCATTAAACAAATATGAGCCTACTGTGAGTCATGCTCTATACCTGTGAGTATCCAGCAAGGAAAACAAAACAAAATGGTCCTGACTTTATGGAGCTGACAGGCTAATGATTTCCAAACAGCAGTTTGTGACCCATTTGTGGATCATAAAAAATCAATTTAGTGGATTATGACCAGACTTTTTAGTCAAGTAGAGGAAAAAAATTGCAGATTTCATCACACATGTAAGGGTTAAGAATTGTTTCATTAAAATTTTACTTTAGCTTTTTTATACATAAAGATTACAAGTATATTGGATTACAATGTAAATTTTATTTCTGTGAGTCCAGCTACTAGCCTAATGTCAATAAATAGTTAATTGTGAAGATCCACAAACTTTCTGTGGCATCTCTAGGACTTTTCTTTTTTAATATTATTTTATTTTACCAGCTTCTGAATTTTTATAAAAATGGTATTACATTGTTTTTAGTCTTCTGTGACTTGATTTTTTTTTTTCATATCTTTACTGGAGTATAATTGCTTAACAATGTTGTGTTAGTTTCTGCTGTATAGGACTTTAAGTTGTGCTCTAGTTCCATGAAACCTGACTCTACCTAGTTTTCAGCTTTTTGGTACATTCCTGTTAGGCTTTTCCTAGGTACCAATGGCTATGAATCAAAATTTCTCATTTCCTTATTCCTACTATAGGTATCTTCACCAAACTATTCTCACTCACTACTGGGAGAAAATTGAGAGTCTGTTATCTGTACCCACAAAACAACCTAACTAATTTTATTTATATATGATTTTATTTACAGACTATGTATAATATATATATAAGTAATTTGGCTATTTGACTAAAAAATATATTTCATTTATAAGTATAACTTTCTCTTTCATGTAGATTTTATATTAAACAAAATTTATAAATTTATAGAAAAGTGTCAGCTCATCTTGCTTATTTAGCATTCAGGGAAGAAAGTTAGCATTGCTTAAAAATTATTCAAGTCAAACAGAAAAGTCTCACAAATTCTGAAATTAAATATAATTAAACACTTCTAAAGTTTGTCAGAATAAAGTGCAAGGTGAAATTTGTTTTTCAAAGTGTACACGTATTTGGATGTCATATTAGAAAAAAGTATTAACATCTGGCTCTAGAGGGCAGAACCAAGACTAATTAGGCAAAGTTACAAGGAATATGATTTCAGGTGATTACAAAGGTATAACCTGTAATAACCAGAACTGTCCCATAGTCTTCATTATAAGGTAACAAGTTCCTTTTTATTAGATGTAATCTAGCTAAAGCTCAATAACCGTGTATTAAAGATAGCATGAAGATTAATAGCATTGGTAATAACAAATCACAATTGCTCATAATTGTACATATAAACCCTCCAACTTGACCAACTATTTGTGGCACAGGTAAGCCCACTGCTCTTTCCAGGAGCTTCAGTGCTAACAAGTCCTTTGATATCAATATGGACTCTTAAAGGTGGAGCGCTGCACCACAATCAAGACACTAAGACTAAGGGGGATCAGAAGTTCATGCCAGGTCTGTAACTCTATATAATCTAAACTTAGGTTTCACAGAAAAATCTTTGCCAGTGATTCACCTTAATCTTTTAAACTCTGAAAAATCATTACTAATTAGGATCTAGGAGCTTATAAGTGTTTAATGTCCCTGAAACTACCTCCTCACGGAATTTTCAGGGCTCCAAAATGCTATGTCCTGCCTTAAGTAAAACCACTTGCATAACTGATATGCTGTAAAGAGTGAGGGAAGAGAGATGAACCAACACCTAATTCATTTTCACATTTAAAGTAACTGGTTGTCCCTACCTTACCTACCCATGCAGTGCTTCCTTGTATTTCTATGGCTCATTGTACCAACTCTATGAGAGCACTTAACCCACTGCTGTCATTACATACTTAAAAGATCTATTTCCATCACAAGATTATGAACCCACAGATGGTAAGAACTGTTTTACCATGTCTATAACACCAGCACTTCACACAATACTTGGCACAAAATTAGGTCCTTAAAAAAGGCTGAATAAACCATTCTACTACCAGTAGAAAATCCATGTGATGTTACCATGAAATAACTCAAAGAAAAAGTTGATATAATTTGTGGTATTTAACTGACATTTGCAAAATACAGCTGAAAGGAAGAAAACATGTAATGCTACCTAAAAAAATCTCAGTTAAGTAAAAAACTTTATACTTATACTAAGATAATTATTTCCTATAACATTTCTAAACCACAAAGTAAATGTTTTCATTAACTGCAATATTAGCAGGTATTTCTGTTTAAAATTTAAGATGGCTTGCTATTTTTACATCAAATACCAACTCTTAAATATATATTAACCTTCAAGGGCATTCCTTAAATAAGTACCACTCCTATAGTAAATATACTTTGCTAATGAAAGGTAATCAAGAAGGAAAAATTCAGAAAGGGAAATGCTTTTAAGAAAACAAAAGCATCCATCATGGTACTCGAATTAATAATATTGCATTAAAAAAAATGAAAGGCACCATATTCACTTATAACATTGTGCCTGTTATAATCATGTATTTGTTATTTTGGCTCAAAGAAGAGACACATTCCTAAGAAGCCAAACAGATGAATAGATGTATATTTTCATTACATTATCTTTTTATTTGCTTCCCAGTTGCATATGCTTTTTTTATGAAAGTTCTCCTAAATCTCTCCCTCATAAGTAATTTTAAGTTTGGGGTTCCAAATTAAATTACTACTATCATAGTAATTGATAGCTGAAAGTTAGAAACAATTTTGACAAAATGACAAAATTTCAAAATAGAAAGTACTTTAAAAATATAAAATAACTATCATCTATACTTGGTTAAGGTGCTTAAGATTTTCATTACCATATCCAGTAAATGCATGTCACTGTTCTTCACGTTTCGACCTGGGCTTAATAACATTCCAAAACATCTGAAAATGTTGGGGGGAAAAAAAAAGGAGAAATAAGGTATCAAGAATATATAGAAGCCCAGTGAGCAAAAGCCTCAATAGTAACGATACAATCTGAGCTTTGTACTGACAAATAGCTTTCATTTTTTAGAGAAACATCATAAATAAGAATTCATTAAGATACATAATAAAATCACATAGAAATAAGTTACCTAAATTCCCAGATCTTTATTTTTGCATGTAAAAGATTACCAATGATCAGAAACTGTGATAAAAATAGCCATAAATTGTTAACTGAAACAAAACACAGTAGTGACATATAAATTAGTTTCTGGGTAAAAATGAGATTGTATTTGCTTTAGAGTCACTCCAAACATATTGGTCAAGATCAACTAACCTAGTTAAATTAAAAGAAAGAAAAATTTTTTAAAAATTAGAATAAGACACTGTACTCTCTTTGCATCAAGCCAGATTAATAGAAACAGTCACCCTGGCCCTCAACAGTCATGTTCACTGAGTAGCCTATATCCTCAGTTTGAAATACTATATCCTCAGTTTGAAAAAAAAAAAAAAGTTATATGAAATTCATTACTAAAAATGCTATTATATTAGTGAAGATATTACCCAACATACTGTATACTATTAACTATTTTATTCTGTGCTTCCTAATGCTAGGGAAGCTTTAGGAATCCCATCAACACTACCACTTTGTTTGTAAAGGATTTTCATAAACTCTAAAATTCAGCTAATTTGAACATTTTTTAATATTTGTTAGGATATTATTGTTATTTCTTCTTTATAGGTAAGAAACGTAAAGTCCAGAAAAGTTATTTTACTCAAATTTATGTGGCTATTAAGTAGGTCTTGTACTCAAGAGACAATGTGATCTGTCCACAGTGTGCCTCTGTCTGCCAACAATGCATACCCACACTTTGTTATTGTGTTTTTATTGTAGCTTTCCAAAATTTAAAAGTATGCTATGGAGCATTTTATACAAGACTATAAACAAATTAAATATACTATTTTTTAAGTTTCAAAATAGCGGCAGCTGAGCAGTCAATACTTAATCTGATCCTTGTTTTCCAAAGGTTTAGTTTTCTAGTAGCATGGCTTTTTTTCCATAAACAAGACAAGAGATTAGTCCTGTCCAAATATGAGCTTAGTAAGTAGTAAAAAATATATACATAATACTTCCTGTGAATATTTGAGGATACCTTGCACAAGGCATCCAAAAAGATCAAGTATATAACAAAGATAAATTCAGTAAGTTCTGAGGAAATTCCAAACATATTATTGTACCAATGAACAAAATATAACTTACTAAAATAGAAATTATTATAATCTAATATTCATAATTTTAATATGATTCCTTTAAACTGCTATGAACTCTCTATGAATTCCTATAATAAACACTGTCTATACAAATTAAATGCTAATTAATCATGTACTTTATTGTACTATTTCTTCTAAGTTTGCCTTAAATTCCTTATAAGAATAAAAGAGTTAATTCTTTTTCAGATATAAAATTTAGTTCCCTCAACTTAAAAGTCGGGTCAATGAGGACAGAAGACTTCTCTCACATTCCCTACATACTTTGCTTCAGCTTGCACCTCTCATGGGTTTTAAAATACTATTTTCTATATTATGGTTTTTAAGTTACAAAACTATTATATATACTCATTGTAAAAAGCTAATAAATACCAAAGTGTATAGGGAAAAAATAATTTCTCCTTTCTCTCTCTAATCTCAGACACTTTGGAACCAATACTAAGAGTTTAGTATGCACCCTCCCTACCTTTCTTTTGCTCGTTTTGAAAATTTAAAGTTTTATATTGTTTGTCAAGCACTCACAGGTAAGTGGCAAAATGGGTACAATTTTCCTAATATAATGTCCTATCTTAAACTCCACTGCAAAAGGAAATTTAGGTTTTCCTTAAATGGGAACACACATCACCTTATTTTGATGATCTTTGATGCACTGCTTTTTTCCTGGGTTATAAATAAAAATCCTGCCACCAACCAACAGTGTGACCCTAGAGAAAGCACCTAACCCCCTTGGGCCTCTGCTTCCTCTTCGAGAAAATGGGAGAGGTAACAATACATGAACTCTAAGGATTCTTCCAGCACTAAAACTGTGTAATTTTTTTCTATCAAGCTGTATTAGTCATTTCCAAAATTATATTTCATTAAAGCACATAAGGTTTCCTATGGAGACAAGCAAGGTCTATTATGAATAACATGTCAGAAATTAGATAGATATTATTAGCACCACAAGCATCTAATGCGAATATTAAGTGTTTCATTGGGGAGTTCAAAGCATTCAATCTTCTCTTATTAACTCCATAAATAATGTAGAAAGCAAACTGCTATTACACCTATTTTCTCAAGGATGTCACAGTCTAGTAGGGGAGGAAAATAAGTAAACAGACAATTACAACCTGTACCGTAAGTTCTACGATAGCCGTTAAGTACAGAATGTTAACAAAACAGAGAGAAGACACACCCAACATTATTTATAATATAGCAAATAGCTAACTTGACCCAAAATTTGAAATCAAACCTCCTAAGAATGGGATGATGGTGTTATCATATTAATAATAATTATCATATTAATTATAGCAGCTGTTTATTGAATGCTTTGTCAGACATTACTATATTGTTACATTTACATTTCAAAACAACCTCCATATAACAAATAATAAAACTGGTTTCCAGAAAGTAGAAGTGATTTGTCCAAACCACAAAGCTATTAAGCCCGTGATTATGACTCCAAAACTGCAGAGTCTTTTACACATTATACTCTGCCACCTCCCTAGCCTATCAGTAGAAACGATTATAAATTCCCTGTGTCATCCTGGGCAAGTCACACACTTTAAAGTCCCACTTTCCACATTTCTGGAACACAAATATTACTTGCTTATAGGTTGACTATGTTAATGAAAAGTTGACTATGTTAATGAAAATGAAAAAACTCACAGGGAAAGTACACCATAAATTCTAGAGCTGTTGCCGATTATAAATTATTATTACAACTGCCACTATTATTTAGAAAAGAAATTTGACCTTCCATACTGCCCAGTGAGTCTCTACTCAAAACAGAGCTTTAAACAGCTTTTAACACCAAGTTAGCATCCATACAGACACCAAAAATTCTGCATATCTTGCATGGCTTTAGGCTTAATTGATGGAAAAATAAAGATGAAATGTCACATGTCACATATGCAACACGCTTATAGAGATTCAGTTCTTCTCAGGGCTGGTCACATAGGCATCCTCTGCCTAGCATGTACCAAAAATCCAGACTCCAGAAGGAAAGCTGGTGTTCAGCACAAACCACATTGCTTGTGCTAAAAGTTTAGGCACGGTGAGCCACTATTCTCAGTTCTGGGAATGGTGGAAACCCTCCCAAAAGCCAAGTTTCCAAATGCCAGTCAAGAACCAATCTTATAAGCAGACCTTTTAGGAATAGTAGTGTCAGTCCTCTTATGTTAACTCTTTTCTCTACAGCCCAATTTGGTATTTATATTTTAAGTAAAAAAAAAAATTTAATACAAAACAGTATCATCTGTGTGTAAAATAATATGGATTCCTCAGAAGCTTGATTCCATTTAAAACAGTTGAATCAAGCCATATAAAGCTTTGATCAATTATCAAAAGCATAACAATTTTCTATGGTACAATGGAATAATTTACCCAAATATATAAACCTTAAAGAAAACAGAAAAAGAATAATTTAAAAATAATATGAGAATAAAGAGGATGGGTAAACTTATTAAAATATATTAAAAATAGAAAAAATCAAATTAATATTTAAAGCACAAATACAATATTCACACGTAAGACTTATTTAGCTTTTGTTGACTTGCTTTTTTTTTTTTTTTTTTTGGTTGCACAGCATGTGGGATCTTAGTTCCCCGACCAGGGATCGAACCTGCACCCCCTGTTATTTCACTTTTGTTAATTAACTGCCTAAAGTCCTACTAAACAAAAATAACATTTTATGTAGTCATTCCTCCCACTTCCTTTCAAATCAGCCAAGATCTTTAAAAAAAAAAAAAACTATGCTGCCATTATAAATAAGAACAAAATATTAGTAACTAAGCAGTGTTTACTAGTGATATAAAATAATTATATCATATCTATAGATACTTAATACCTCCCCTCGTCCCTCCCCCCAAAAAAGTCATACGAAAGAGACAAATACAAAGACTTTAGGAAGACTAGCAAAAAGGCCTGGATTCAAATCCTCATGTTGCCTCTTCTTAGCTGTTTCTTAGCAGGCAAAATAACATGCTTTAGTTTCCTCCCTCTGCCAAAAAAAAAAAAGTAAATAAAAAGATAATTTACTTTATAGGATTCCTTGCTTTAGTATGAAAAACACTATGCAATAAACACTTGGGATGGATGTCAACATATGGTAGAAATCATTAAATAGTGGTTATTATCCTTGCCATTATTATGACAATTAAAAGACTATCAGTTAAGAAGACTATCTAAAATAAACACTTTTTTTCCCCCAGAAGTGCATCAGAAACTTTATCTGTGGGACTAGTTAATTTCACTAGATACTAGTTCAATTAGATACTGTCAGTATAGGTCCAAATAGGAGAGAGAGCACAGAAATAATTTGAACAGGAAAAGTTTATTATAAAAAATTATTCTCTGTAATAGGAGAGTGACTATAAAGAGAATTCTAAAGAACAACCTAAGGCTGAGGAAGAGTACCCCAAAGAAGAGCAAACTTGGAAAGAAGATCCTCCCCCTAAAGCTGGTATTCTGACCTCACTGTAGAAGATATGACTGCAGCCCAGTGGATGACAAAGAAGTTTTCTGGACTGCCCAGGCAAAGTTGGACCACAAGCAAACAGGAAACAACCCTCTAGGGTGCAGGTAGCCAAGGGTGGCCGGCAGGTGAACAAAGGAAATCAGGACTCCCGGAGGCCGCTCAGAGGCAGTGGTACAAAGCCTGAGGCCCACAATGTCTGTATCTGGAGGGCTGCAGGAAGATCTCGCTGAGCCAG